TCCCGACAGGCTGAAGACTCACGTCCTCGCTTTGCTTCAGATGGTTCCACCTTGCAGGAGGCAAGGAAATGACTGTGGTGGAGCCGGCTCAGGTAGGGGATTTTGTGGGGAGCTGTAGGGGGGGGGATTGTGGAGCGGGAGGGCAGAAAATACACAGGGTGGGGAAGGGAGAGGGCAGGGTGGGAGAAACCTGCTGGGACTTGCTCAGCCTAGAGCCTGATGGTCTGACCGGGCCCGTTGCGGGGAGGGTGAACGTTCCCTCATTTCTGAAGGAGGAAACTCCCCATGGACACGGCTGAGAAAACTGACATGTCTGCATTGGTCCTTTAGCCAAGACGTGCAGGGGCGGGCCCAGGGGGTGATGCACCCTGTTCTGTTCACACCCTCTGGGGCACCCAGCATTGGACACTGGGCTGGAAGGGCCTTTGGTCTGACTCCTATTGCTGTTGCTCATGCTGAATGCAGGGAATAATTCGGACACTGGATCCTGGTGAAAACAAGCAGTGGATTTACTGCACTCAGCGGGTGGACTGTCCCTCGGGGGTTAACCTGGAGAGCGCTAGTTAATCAAAACATTACAATAGATTATATAGGCAGCAGATGGGCGAAGAAGCAATTTCATAGGTTCTGGCGGCAAGACGGAATGAGCACGTAAGCCAATCAACTATAAAGGTTACGCAGCATCTCTGCCCGTCACCAGTTAAACATCTTATCAATAATACAGGTAGTTATTCCTAACCAGCTAAATACGCCCACATAAACAAAAGACGTTTTGATGGTGACTTTGTCTGCTGAATTATGATGCGTCTGCTGCAGGGGTGATACTGCCTTGCATTGGCGCGGTGCTTGGGATTCAGGTTTATTATCTAGGATTAAAGGAGGCCGTGAGAACAGCTTCCATGAAGTTTGTTTTGGTACCAGCCAGGGTCGTCTTGGAGTGAGGCCCTCTTGGATTGTGGTTGCCAGGGCGACCAGGGTCGTGGTAGCTGCTTGTTCTGTGTGTTCCCAGGCCTGGCCTCAAATTTAGGATTTATTTAGGAGAGATACCACCCAAACCGTGTAGATACACCCAATTTTGGAAATGCCTCTTTTGACAGTAAAGCGGAAAAAGATACACAACTTGGCTACGTCTACACTGGCATGATTTTCCGAAAATGCTTTTAACGGAAAAGTTTTCCATTAAAAGCATTTTCGGAAAAGCACGTCTAGATTGGCAGGATGCTTTTCCGCAAAAGCACTTTTTGCGGAAAAGCGTCCATGGCC